CACTGTGGACTCACTGGGGCTTCTGCAGGGGTTCTGAAAGGCCCAATGAATGTCACTTCTTGTCCTCATTTGAAGTCAGAATAGAATCCGAGAAAGCTGTAGGAGCCCGAAGCCACGGAGACCGAAACACCAGTTTCGTTATTGATAAAGGTGAATGGATACCATGGCACAGGTGTGGAGGCTGAGCGAGTGGGTCAGAGCTCCCCTGAAACAGGCCAACCCCCCAGAATGGCAGGCCTCCTCTGCTGGACTCACCACACAGTGGCAAGAGCCCAGAATGTACACTATGTGCAGGCAAGCAGGTCCTCAAGAGTTCCTTCTCCCAGACTCAGCAATCAGATGGGTCACTCTGGTGCCCAGTGAGGGGATGGAGACAGCGAGAGGGCTAGACGCCAGGAGTATTCTCCATGGCTATCTCTTTACACGGAAATATGAGGAGTGGAAATAAGTATCCTCACCCCAGCCCCCCCGCCGAGTTCTTCTCTTTGCCCAGGACACGGCTGTCGCCTGGCTGGCCCCCCTCAGAGGACACCTCGCTGAGAGGCTGGTAGGATGGGAGAGACTCAGGAGAGGCATGGGAAGAGAGCGCAGTGGGTGCTGTGTCCTCCCCATCTTCCCTCCACACCCCTCCCTTCCTGAGCCTTTGGATTGCACTGGGATAGATTGAGATCGACAAACCTAAACGTGTTTTGGTTTGAGGTTTGGCAAATTCCGTAACTCCAAAGTATTCCACAAATGTTTTGTGTTCTGCAAAACCAAAAAATATTGGCCAAGCACTCCCCCCCTCCACTAATTTTTAAGCCCATGTGTTTTTAAAGGAAATGTAATCCGTATGTTTTGGGTACATTTATATGCAACTCATCAAACCATGCTCGTTCCCATGAGTCATTTGACGTCTAAGATGCATGGGGATGATCATAGATATATAAGAACTCTGTTAGCACAAGAAGGGCAACAGGTGACGCACTGGTTGGAAGGTAAGGAACTGGATTCTGGTGTTGGCACAGAACCACCAGATCCCAGAAGATTTACAAATAATCCCCTATATCCTCATCCATCAATCTTTCCCATCTGCAAAATGACATTAATAATTCTTGCCCTCATCAGATCCTGCAGGCAGGGAGTGAGATTTCAAGTCTGATTGTCAGGTCATTTTGAGCTTTTTAAAGACAAAATACAAGGGTCCCTATACCTGCCCCCCATGGGTCTATATTAATCTAGCTTCCCAGAGTGCTGGAGGACAAAAATGGCTTCTATATTCAATGATTCATCTTTGCCCTCTCATGAGACAGGGGACTTCAAGGCCATTATGTCATGGTTTCACCTGCTAGGGAAGTTCAGCCTGATTTCCTGTCCTCTACTAGGGAGCCCCTTGTTTACGGGGAGTATAGAAAGTAGATGATAAAGCCATGGGGAAGGCTACAAAGACAGGTGGAGAATATATAGGTTGTTTTATTTGGAAAAGAGAAGATTCTGGGTACTTTAGTATCTTTAAGTAAATGAAGGGTTTTCAGAGGAGGAGATCTAGTCTTCATATCCGTTGAAGACAAAATAAGTCAAGTTTAAACTGTTAGCATGATAGAGCACAAAGTTCACAGGCTTTGAAGTCAGGCGAACCGGGAGTTATTCCATGCTCCAGCTTTGCTCTGTGACACTAGGGAGGCTGCTTAAGCTCTCTGAGGGTCAGTTTCTTCATTTGTAAAATATTTTAAAACATTTTAAAGATGAGAAGGAAAAAACCCTAAGTAAAAGGCCTGAACACAGTAAGTGTTCAATCACAGATAATTTCAGTAATTACTAATGTTACTTAAAGTAGCCTACAGCTTTAAATGGGGCATACGTCACAAAGAATCACCATGCTACCAGAAAAATAACAAATAAGGCACTGAAATGGGCCAATGAGGATCCATAGTTCTGCTTTCGTGGAGTCCTTACAAAGAAGAGTAACCCATGAGGCAGGACAAACAAATAACTGTCCTGAGCAGGAAGACATTCATCAGCCCCAGAGCTGGGCCAGGCCAGGGCCAAATGATGCATCAAGGTCCCTTCTAGCCCAGTGAGGGGACAGGAGAACCCCAGGACTTGCACCAAGATGTCATCACAACTTCCTAACCAGAGGCAAATGCTTCAAGATACATGGTCTTATTCCCCAGATTAAAGCGTGGTTCCAGTTCTCAGAGCAGAATTCTGATGCTGCTCAGTATAGCCTCTCTATTCCAATGTTCTGTTCTAGGTCATGCCTCTGAAAAACAAGGACTCCAGTGGAAGAAAAACTGCAAAGAAAAAAATCAAAACAGGGCGCCTGGGTGGCTCAGCTGGTTAAGCGACTGCCTTCGGCTCAGGTCATGATCCTGGAGTCCCGGGATCGAGTCCTGCGTCGGGCTCCCTGCTCAGCGGGGAGTCTGCTTCTCCCTCTCCCGCTCCCCCCTCTGGTGCTCTCTCTCTCTCACTCTCTCTCTCAAATAAATAAATAAATCTTTAAAAAAAAAAAGAAAAAATCAAAACAATCTTCCAAGTTCCAAGAAGAAAATAAGCAAGTACTAAATGTCACTGGAGATACAGAAGGAAAGAAAGAGAAGGTAGTTAAGTAACTAAAGTCATAGGGTTGACCCCTCACGGTGTCTAGGGCAGAAATTCTTAACTCTTGGTCATGGAACTTTTTGAAAATCTGAAGAAAGCCATAGATCTCTCCCCAGAAAAATGCACACCTGCTCATCCACACACCAATTTTCCTTACAATACCTGGGAACTCACAGAACCCTGGAAATCCATCCATGGACTCCAAGCTAACGATCGTAAATACCCTTGCGGCTTCTTTATGAAAGGCCAGCTTCTATTCTGAGTACATCATCACTAGCAAGGTCCTCAATAAGCCTAGAATGCAGAGCCCCGAAAAGGAAACAACAGGAAACAGTTCACAGGCAAGTTCTACGACCTGAACATGGAATAGAAACTAACTGGCGGGAAGAGGACTGTCTCAAATGGAAGGAATAAGTATGCATTCCTCATTGGCTAAATTTTGAAGACAAAGGTCTTCGCTGAACAGGAAAGCATTTGGCCTGGAGTTCTTGTGCCTATGGCCACACCACTAACTGCTTGCTTGATCTAGGACACATTACACAATTTCACCATCTTCAAACTAGAAGTTTAAGTGAATTTTTCTTCAGTAGATACAACACTAAGAAATTCTGAGGTAAATAAAATTTTATAGCAATCTAAATGTATTTTAAATATAAAATAAGAGTTTCACAAAGAAGTGCTTCGATAGGGGATTAAGGGTACACTTATTGTGATGAGCGCTGAGTAATATACAGAATTGTTGAATCACTATATTGTACACCTGCAACTAATATAACACTGTATGCTAACCATAATGGAATTTAAAAAACAAATATTTTTTTTTAAAAAAAGAAGTGCTTCGGGGGTCCTGGGTGGTGCAGTCAGTTAAGCACCTGACTCTTGGTTTCAGCTCAGGTCATGATCTCAGGGTGGTGAGACTGAACCCCACATCGGGCTCTGAGCTCAGCAAGGAGTCTGCTAAAATTTCTCTCTCCCTCTCCCTCTGCCCCTCCCTATCTTCACTCTCTCTTCCTCTCTCTCTCTCAAATAAGTAAGTAAATCTTTAAAAAAAAAAAAAAAGAAGTGCCTCCGTAAATAATTTTGTAAAGGAAATGATCACCACAGATGATTTTTAGCATAAATCTGGCTTCTAGTAGAATGTGCTATTATATAGTTCATGAAGTGATCTAAATATAATACTAGATAGTTTATCTGAAAACTCTTGCAGAGAAAATAGCAAAGGTAACTCCTGACGGTCTGTGTCATTCAGATGTAAAGAAATGCCCCCAAATGAGGAAAATGTCTGAACACTACATAAAGGGTTATTGCAAAGCCTACACACTTTACAAGACACACGTGTCACATTTGTGGTTTCAGTATGGTTTATATAAAGTGAGCTTTTCTGACTGAATAACCTTAGATAGATCTGTGTTCCCTAGCAACTTCAGTTCTCCCCTAGCTCTCTGGATAACAGATTTTAATTTTATATAGGAAGGGTGGGAAAGAAAGGGTTTAGAGAGAAGCAGAATTAACCAGAAAAATGCCACAGCCACTAAGACCACTTACAACAAGAGCAAATAGTCCTGTAAATGTCAGCAGCTCTTTTTTTTTTCTTTTTTTTATTCTTATGTTAATCCCCATACATTACATCATTAGTTTTAGATGAAGTGTTCCATGATTCATTGTTTGTGCACAACACCCAGTGCTCCATGCAGAATGTGCCCTCCTCAATACCCACCACCAGGCTAACCCATCCTCCCACCCCCCTCCCCTCTAGAACCCTCAGTTTGTTTTTCAGAGTCCATCGTCTCTCATGGTTCGAATGTCAGCAGCTCTTAAAGAGTTTCCCTACATGATAACCTAGTCCTAATGATGATGCTGAGGCATCAAGAAAGGTCATGTTCTAGAAACTGTCTTTAAGGCATGCAACATCTAATATATTTGGGGAATATTTCTTAAGAGAAAAATGGCTAATTTTTTAACAGTTTTTAGCTAATCTTAAAGGTGATAATTTTCTGATCATTTTTATTTGTCCACAATTCCTTGTTTGATAATACAAAGTAAATGAGGTGTCACTGTAGGTACTAGCTACCTAGAGTACTTAGCAGAAAAAGGAGCAATCTTTTGATGATAATAAATCACCATAAAATTTGGTTTAAATGACTGGATTATCAAGCATGATGTAGGGAGAAAAACACAATGAGGGATCTGATCTGGTATTGTACAGAGTGTTAACAAAAATTGGAAAACTCAACCTTTTGGGGACAGCTTTTTGATTCTCAGATCAGCTATCCATCTCTCTTTGCCTGAGTCAGCACAGAGGCATAGTGTTCAAGTTTTCCCCAAAAAGCAGGAGCCAAAAGCCACCAATGGGGTGGGGGAGGGGAATAATGTCATGAAGAAAAGAAATGTCGGTGAGCGTCTTTCCCAGTTATTCTTACCTGTTTCTTCCAGAATCTCTGAATCCTTTAGCAAAAGGGTTTCGATCAATTTTTAATCTGGTGATCTGGAAACAAACAAAGAACATAAATTGCATTTATATTAACTGATTTCTTTTTTGGTTGCTCCTGGAAAATTAACAGAAATCACTCTGTTGGTAACAGCTATTGTTTTTATTTAGTTTCCTTTAAGTCTGAGATTTAAATGGAAGTTGATATAGGACATGGGCCTGGCACCCAGATGTCTGACCCACCTGACCCACTTCTCCCTAAAAACTGAGGTCTTCCCAGTATGTGACTATAAACTCTCTTCTGCTCACCTTTCTTGCCCCAGAATAGGTGATAAATCACTTGCCTAGACACACAAAGGCATGGAAATAGAAAACTGGTCAATGGTCAAGTCCGTGGTACATGACACACAGGAAGTACTTGAACAGCGTTTGTTGAGTGAATGAATGAGCGAGCAAGTGAGTGAATGATGGACAAATGGATTCAGTCAATCCAATCCAATGGAATCGGACCCCCAGACAACCCGCCTCAGCCTGAAAAGTCCATATAATTGACTGCATTTGCCATTTCACTTTAGTTGTCCCTTCCTTGCCCCTTGAGATGGTTCATTTAATGACCTAAAATGGTCTTGTAAAAGACATAAAAAGTAGCTACACTTTTATCAAGGTTGCATTCAAAGGAAAATCTATAAATGAGGGACCCAGTGGGGCAGGCTACATCCAGTCTCCAAGGCTCACAAGCAAATCAGAAGACATGAACGACTGTGTGACCCAGGTTGGATGGGTCCTTAGGAGCCATCTGGTTCAACCTCTACTCAGAGCATAAGGCCCTCTCTATCACATCTTACCTTAGCCCCTTCAAACTCAGCTAGGGTTGTACACACCACCCCCATGCCCCCAGACTAGACCAAGCCTGACCAACAAATTCCACATGTGTTCTTACGTTTCCACTTTCAGCCTTGGTCATGGGAGGCATTTTTGATATTTTTGTGTCTAAACCAGATGTCAATGACTCACTATCTTCAAGCAACAGAGACTTTGGGGTGGGGGTGAGGAAGCTCAGGAAAGGAGGCAAGGTGCTTTCAATGGAAGGTGACTGTAGAAAGAAAGGAATCTCATTGAAGACCACCTTCCCCTTTCTGATCATTGCAGAACTTATTACCAGGATGGCTAAAGATTTTCTTACGTTGAAAATCTTTTCCAAGTCCCTCTTCCATCTTACTTTGTCAGAGTGGAATTTCCCAAAGCTGCAATCTTTAAAGGTCTTTAAAATGCAATGTGAGATTCTGACCAACAGACTCTGACTTGAAAGTACCAAAGTTAATGTTTTTCCCTAAAACATTCCTTGCCTTGAGAATGGCACACTAATAATGCAGCACTAATAATGTAGCAAAAGCAATTTTACATCTATTTTTATAGACCAGAGCAGGAGCCTGAAGCTTTGGCTCTCTAAAGTCGAGTGTCTGCCCTGTGAATATTGTATTGAGTTTAAAGACTGTCACTGCTTTTCTGTTTTTGACTTAAAATCCATTCTTTCTTCCTTCGTAATCCACAGCAATAAACCGCACACCATATTTTCTTTTCAAGTTGGGGTTATAATATTTTATTTTCTCTTTCAAGTTGGCTTATCCTATCCGGCTCATTTATGATAGGGGTTTCTGATATATGATTGTGCTGCCATGTTTGGGGGGCCTCCACAGACTCCTGTAAATAAAATGACATTCTATTTCATGGGCCTGGGAGAAAAGGTTGAAAAGCCGCTTCCCACAGCTCATTCTATCTCAGGCCAAGAGGTCTGCGTGGATATTTAACAGAAAAGTGCCACCAAATGTTAGGAAAAACAGCACCTCTCTACATGTTTGGAAGCTTTTAATGTGAGATTTAGAGAGCTTTATGTAGTGTGGTTGCGTACTCATTATTTATTTGTCAAGTACCTTTGTGTGCAAAGCAAGATGACAGGAGGCACAGGTGACAGTGATATACAGTCCATATATGGCTGCGTATTGTCTGGTGCCCCCCGGCCCAGAAGCTTATAATCTAGAAGAAAAAAGCAAACATATACACTAACACATAGACACTAACACAACATGGGAATGGGTAAGGTTTGCAACGAAGGCAAATGAGAGCCTCAGAGGGAGTAGCGAGAGTCCCAAGTTGAAGGTGAAACCTCAGACACAGCACATGAGCCAGGCCTCGAAGGATGTGTAGGACTTTAATGAAAAGTGCAAAAAGAGGAGAAAGGAACAAGGGAAGCATTGCATAAGACATGGACTATGGAAGCCAGAGCCCTGAAGTAGAAAAACATGAAAAAATGAAGCGCACGCGAGAAGCACCGAGAAGTCCAATTTGGCCAGAGCACAGCCTATGGGAAGACGGGCAGCGAGAGACAGCATGAGAGGCTGCCCTGAGGCCATATCAAGGAATGCTTTATCGCCCTGCTTAGGCACCTACATACCCTCTAGGCAGAAGAGAGCAACTTTAGCAATATAAACCGAACTATGACCCCAGTTGATGCTCGTGCTGACAACTCTGGCGATGTCTACTAATCCTCAGGGTAACAAGGACAATAATTTGGAGGAATAAACCAATGTATTCTCAATCTCAATAATCCATAGTCCCGTGGTTCCCATATGAAGAGCCAGCCTGCTGGCATCTGCGCCTTCGAGTATCTTATATAGCATAGAAAGGGGATGCAAATGACAGCTGGGCCACAAAGCCCACTGTCCTGTGGAAGACAAGGATGTGACATCAGGTGAATTCTTATCAAGGGGGGAAAGAAGTAAGAGATCTTCTGCTCCCACCTCAGGGGAATATGAAAAAAGAGGAAACAGACGAAAGAGAAGCAAGTAGGTGGAGTTACATGTGTCTTAGCTCCCTACTCAAACCAAAATCCAGGGGTGCGGGTGGGGAGCTTCAGAGGAAAACTGGTAGGGCAACCTCCACACACACACACACACAGGGCCGGCTGCATCAAAGTAAAAATGCCTCCCAGTCTAAAGAATCAGGAAGAGGACAAGTCAGCATCTCCACACCTCCTATCGCCCTTTCCATGGTGAGTCAGGGACTTAGAGGTTCTCACATGCCATGACAGGGAAGGGAGGGTGACCCTAACACAGAGGTGCCATAGCCTAGGCAGGAGCCCAGTGGAGGACCCAGATGAGCCCTGAGGTGAGGCTGAGCCAGCCAGGGAGGCCCAGGAGGTCCAACTGAAGCAAAAACATGACAGCACAAGCTCAGCAGTCTCCTATCAGTAGAGCATGTCCACACAAGGGACCCAAGGCCCAGACTAGACATGATGGTCACCAAGAGAGGCCAGTGAGGCCCTCTGCCCTGAGCACACACCACACATCTAGAGGTCATCTGGAGTAGTGTGGGAGACTCATTTGAATAGTTAATTTTCAACCCTACTCCAAAGTTACGTTTATCAATTAGACCCAAATATGGCTGTCAGTCTCCATCTCCCCACCTTCAACCAGAACACAGTCATCTTTTCATTAAACTACTCTATATAACCTTGGGACTAATCTCTCTTCTTCCACCCTCGTCCCTGTCCGGTCTCTTCTCTACAAAGCAACCAAAGTGATCTTTGTTAACAGATACGTGAACCACGTCTTTCTCATCAGTGGCTACCACTCTACTCAAAACTCAACCCAAACTCCTTGGCTGGCCTTGCAGGGCCCCTGCCTAGCTCTCCATCCCCACCCATGCTCCACTACACCTGGGCCACAGGCTCCCGCCAAACTCAGCTGCTCTCAGTGCTGAGTGTGTCAAGCTCTTTCCCTGCTCAGGCCCCTCACACTCACTCTACCTCCAGTCAAAAAAATGTTCTTTTCTGTGCTCTTCACATAGCTGATGCCTCATCCTAAGTCTCAGTGTAAATGTTACCTCCTGAGAGAGATGGTCCTTGATCATCCCTCCAAAATAGGATGCTTTCAGGTAAGAACGATGCCTATTTTCTACACCATTTTATTAAGAACCTAACATGACATGCTCTTTGGGCTCAATGAATATTTGTTCAGTGAGTGAATGAGTGAGTGAGCGCATGAATGAATAATGTGGGAAAGAGGGATTACCAGCCCCAAAGCCATAACAAGCCTTAGAGAATACAGACCAGACAACTCCCTCGATCCTATCTGCTTTCACTGGAGCACCACAAACGGAAGTCTCAAATGTCCTCCTGGGCAGAATGAGGTCTATTAGTAACTGTCTGCGCAGCTAAAACTATTCTGCAGCAGTCATGTTCAAACCTGCTCAAAGTGATAATGCGGAGACATGGAAAGTCAGAGATTGGGGAAGCATTTTTCTTCCCCGATTTGATTTCCATTATTCTGATTTTACAGTCTGCGTCATCGAAGACCATAGCACAGGAAGAGGTGGTTGCTGGCTTACCACCTTTGGTTTTAATCATTTTCACTGACTTTTTGCCTAGAAACGTCCAGGCAGTTAATAAATGAGGTACACCTCACAGTGCAAGGCGCAGACATAAATCGCACAACCTACAAAGAAAATGAAACTTCAATATCCTGAGTATGATTTTACAATACCAAGGCTGAAAAGGCCTTCCCTTATTAACACTCTCTTAGTTATTCTTTTTTTTTTTTTTTCTACCATATTGCTTTGAAAGGTGTTCATCAGGGAAGAAAAAAAAAAAAAACTCAGCCCATATGAAAAATAAAAAATAAAAAACCTCTGCACTGATTTGATTGGAAAGTTAGACCACAACGGGCTCGATAGTTTAGGATATAATGAGTGGCTCGGAGCTCCTATTGGATTTGCTTACGCAAACCTGGCTGTGGTTCCAGACTTCCTATCTGGTTCATGTAGCCAATTCTCATCAAGAAATAAGACTGTGTTACCTGAGGAGAACAGGGCTGTGTCTTTTTGAAATCTAGTTTCCTGTTTGGGGGGGGAAAAAAAATCAAGGTTCAGCCATCTTTTCCCCTTAGAGAAGACAAAGACTCTGCAACGGAAACTTCCTGCTAATTCCATGAGGACGTGTTGGCGTCAGCTTCTTCCAAGAAAAAGCGTTCAGTGTAGAGTCACCTTTATTCCCACTTCTA